TCCAGCCAAAAGCGATGCTACCGGACAAGTAGCACGAAATGGATGCTGCATTGTCTCTTGTGGGGTCATGTCATTACAAGGAGTCGGCCGCAGACTGAAGTCGCCTAAAGCAAGCGGTTTTTTTGGCATTTCACCATTGCATTGTTTGAGGCATAAGGGGTCATATTGAAGGTGTTTTCGCCGTTCCCTTCTGCATTTTCTCTTCAAGGACGAGTCACCCGGCAACTTCCCCTCCACATTTCGCCGCCAATACCTACGCTCTCGCGGACCATATCTTTGAGACATCGTTGAGGATACTGAAACGAAAGTGGTACAGTTGAACTTGGTGATATGACGAGAAGAAAGGGTATTTCGATGAGCAGATATTCGAAAGCACGGTCACTTGGGGATGTACCAATCGCTTGTGTAACTCGATTCACATACCGTTGCACAAAAACGTCCTAGTGGATGGACCATGAAATCATTTTAAGGGGAAATTTTCTTATGTTTAACTTTTCAAGTAACAAATAAATAAAACCAAGAGTGCCAAGCAACTGAACAGACAAAAAATGGCTTGAAGCGAAAACACCACCTCTTCGAAGTCGGCCTTTGCTGATTCACGATGTTTGATGGCTTCTTTCCATTCTTTTGTTTGTATCGTCAACTTCTCTGCACCCTCTTCAAGCTCCTAGAAAACAGAATGGATAAAGAAGCACACCACACACACATCATTACAGGATAGAATGTTAGCAGATCGACTTCAGCAGAGCACTGCAGCTTTTCCAGTCAAATGTGGCAATCCCCGATTCTATGAAACCCTACCGCTTATGTAATTCTAGTGGAATCAGGTATTAACACCGCAACAGATTCAAACTAGAGGAGCTTAACAACCAAGATAGCCTTTTCAAGTATCCCTCAATCTAAGCAGTTTCTCATGCCACCATATCTAATCATAGAAAACCAAATGACCTGTAGCTTTCTAAGCTTCTAACGCGTAAGCTGGTCGGAGGTCAGGAGGCACCACAAACAACACATCATTCAAAAACTACAATACGAAAAATCTGTGAGTACAGTAGAGCAGTAGCCAAGAGCTTTGAGGAAGAAAAAGGGATAAAGCATTGAGGTGTTCGTAGCAGTAATTGAGCACAGATGAGTTATTCATTCAGAAAAGCGGAATAATCAACGAAACAATAGGTGACTGAATTCAGGATGCGAGAAAGCACTTGGTAGCAAATATCCATACAGATTCTGGGCAACTATGCCTCAGCCTACGTCACTTTCGCTCTCAGTCTTGTACTGCTGATGATACTTCTGTACCTCTAGGGAGGGCAGACATAGAGTAAAACTGATGCTGATTGATGTCTACTGCCTTGGCATGCGCTTCCGTAACGCAGAAACTTCCCTGAATCGTATGGCTGCGTTCAGACTTTGCGGCAGCGTCCACCAGCGGCAGCGACTAAGAAAGTATAGATATCGATCCAGCGGACGCCAGCATCCATCAACTTGTGTCAGTGTCTACCAGCGTCCGGGAAAGGGAGTATGGGGAGGTAGGAGGGTAGCAGACAACCGGATTAGGCGTTGTGAAATTGCGGCGTGTGTAACCGCACCGTACAACTACACTTAACCGTATATAGTGTAATTCTCTAGCTATTGTACGGCGCGGTTGCACACGCCGCAATCTCATGACGTCTAATCCAGCTGTCTGCTCCCTCCATATTTACCCTACTCTCTAGTCCTGGACGCTGGCGGACACTGGCATACACTGTGGACGTGGCGTTCGCTAGATCGATACTTATACTTCCCCAGTCCCTCGAGACGCTGGTGGACGCTCCCGCAAACTATGAACACAGCCTATGCGCATTATTATTCAACACACAAAACGTTATCGAATCGTCATAGGTTTATTCAGACCACAATCACCACATCACGAACAGAAATGATATGATGCAAAGCTGATGATGATCAGACGTGATCACGATGATGATGCCGAAGCTGATAATGATGACGATGACGATAATGATAATAATGGTGATGATGACGACGATGACGACAATGAATGCAATCACAAATGGAAATGCTCCGGACAAATGCTGGGAATCACGAAGGTCACAAACCATCAAATCACAGCCAAATCTGGGATTATTACATAGAAAGCAACTATATGTTCACGATAATAATCACTACACACAACGACACCGACATGCAAAATGGCATCCAGAAAAACCGGGATTGGAAAATGAACAAAACAAAGGAAAAACCCATCAACAACCTTAACCACCAGGGAACCAACTGCACAACTAACAGATAGGGAATTGATCGAATCAGGTTTTACCACCACAAGTTAATGATTTCAATTTACGAGAGTAGAGTATTAATGGGGTCTTTTGAAAGGTCTAGAGCCACTTCAACAGCTTTTCAACATCGAGTTTTGAATTTCCATTTAGCCACCACTTCACCGCCTGCTACATTTAAAATCGAACATGGACTGAAAGCACACTCCACGATTGCTATTCACAGGGAGAAGGCTTCAAAAGCAAAAGGGTATGTGCTTGTTGTCATATCAGTGCCGAGAAAGAAGCTTAAAAACAATCGAAAAGGTCACTAATGAAACTTAGTACTGAAGGCACATTCCGCGATTGCTGCTTGTGGTTGGAGGGGTATGAATTGGATGGCACGGTTAAAAGGCTCCCAACAGGGCCCCTCTTGGTATTTAGCAATCTATGGGCAGGTGGCTAAATGAGTACTACTTCGTTTGCAGATATCTCACGATATCAGCTCCTTCTCTTCCTCATTACTGTCACCAGCAGGATGCTTATCAGTTCCTGTCTCATCTGGTCACATCGAAGATGATCACGATTGTCAAAAGGGCGGAATCTGGTATTGTACAGGAGAGCGACAAATACTGCGGTGGGGGGTGGGGGGGGGGGCTCTGAAGAAGAAGACGAAAGCTGAAACGAGCAGAAGGGACAATTTCCGATCGTTATGATTATGCCAACAGCTCGAAATATTTAGGGGAAAAGGAAGGTTCTTTAGTCCTTCTATCTACCATCGTGTAGCTCACATGAAATCATTCTCCTGTGGCAACAATGACATTTACAATAGTAACTCAAACCACATTGTTAGCAAGACGCTTGCAATAAGTGCCATCAAGGGCTATTCGTCAGCACTTCTCGAACACCTCTGCATACGCCTTCAGACATAAACATGCATTACATGGATTGGATTACAAACTACTTGCGTTGCCCTATGGAAAATATAGTACATCCTGACATTATGCACACATGCTAATAGGTTTCAAATGCACTCCCGACCTCGGACGCAGCCACACCCCCTGGGAGTAACCCCATCCATTGGTTAGAAATGAATTGCAAACCGTGATCGTAAGCATCATGAGCCCAGCTCCAAAACTCTCCAGCGAATAATCGTGTTTGCGTTAGCGTCTCATGGAAACCAATTTGAGAGAAGCGATACAGAAATGATAGACCCACACAGACGACAAACCACAGAAAATACGAACGTTTCGTGCGACGTTTACGCTTGCGTCCCTTGCGGGTTTTTGGTGGTTCGGACCCCAACGATGTTGATTCCGCACTCGAGCTAGAACACCTCGCTCGCTTCCTTATCTTAGCATGACTCGTCAAGCTACTGTCATGATGGTGACAACAGCGCTGAACCGGTGGACGAGCTGTTAGCGGGTCAGGTGGTGCAGATTCACCTGCGCCACCAAATCGGGACATAATGCGCTCCATTGCTCGCCCCCTGCCCTGATCAGCTGAGTCGAAGTCTGCGAAATGGCCAGCGGCCGTCAGCGAGTCGCTCACCCTCTGCAGCTCTGTCTTCTCTAAAATCAGCTGCCGATTCTTTTCTTTCAACTCGCGAACTTTCTTCTCCAAATCTTCAACGTCAGGTTCTTTCGCAGTAGCAGCACGTTCTTTCGACGCCGCTTCATCAGCGAGTCGGGTCTTTAGTATCTAAAAAACAAATGAATACCAACAATACAATCTTATTACGACCTAAAAATAACCTGAAAATCAGAAAGATATGGAAAGAAAACAACATCAAGTATTTTTAGGGAAAATAAAAACAACAGATCTTGCCTGAATCTCGTCTCGGAGCTGAGCTATTGTCTGTTCATAGTTCTTCTCCTCATCTGATCTGGACTCTCCGGCAAAAGATTGCACAAGCTGATTGGCTTCTGTACGGTAAAATAATTCCACTCATTATCCAGAGAATGGTAACTCAAGTGGTAATCTTACCCTGACACTTCCTTGCCAGTTCATGCTTCTCAACTTCCAGCTCTCTTAATCGCTTCTCGTAGGATTCAGCTCCAGCCGTCTGCGATTCGCCTACGCCCGAGTTGTCGCGTGACAAGCACTCACCCAGCGATTTCGCATCAGACAGTAAACTTGAAAACACGCGGTTTCAATGAAAGTAAGCAGGTCTCGAAAAGGTAAGAATGGCGTTGGGGGGGGGAGTGGGTGACGAAATGGAGGGAGAAGGAAATCCGATCAACTATGAGATACACTAGACTTACGATATCACTAATCTCTATGAAAAGACAGGGAGGGGAAGGGGGCGGGGTGAAACACGGAAAAAGGCAAAAAACAATAAAAAAAATAGGCAACTAACTACTATCTCGAAGAGTAAATGCAACCCAGCTTTCGCACTACCCCTCCTTTTCCTTCATGTAGGCTTCCAGTTCGCTGAGGTAAGCACCCACGGGAGAATAGGAAAGGAAAGTGTTGTTCTATAAGCAGAGAAACCACAGAAAACTGCGAATAAGGAAGGAACCTGTAAAAGGGGCCCAGTGGGGGGAGGGCGATGAAGCAGGAGAGGAACGTTTATGAGTAAAATCGCACTTCATCATTATTACGCGCTTGAGTAAGATTACGAAAATTTCGATATAAGAACATTCAAATCTCCCGGGTCAACCGCCTGTTCAATTAGATCTCGCTACGACCCCAGAACTAAAGAAGATTGGTAAACATACCTTCCGTGTGTATAGGTAAAGCCAATAAAAGGAAGATGATGACCCGTAAACGCGGCAGTAACCCGAGGTGGTTGAGTTTCCTGTAATAATCAGCTCAACCGGTCTAAATATAATTGCTCAGAAAAAAAACTGACTATTGGACTTACGCAAGGCGTAAAGTCGTCTTCACAAATGTCCACATCAAAGTTGGACGTGTCCGTTGGACTTGAAACTTCTGGGTGGTATGGTGGATCGGCTAAAGCGCACGACAATACAACATGCGTCATACATGCTAATTGAATAAAGTTTCAAAAACTTACAGTCTCGTATAGTCGCCCAGTCCACACCGGCGAAAAATGGATGGTCACGAAAATCAGCAAAACCACCCTTACCCAATCGGACCTGAAATTACGTTGGCATTTCCGTAGCATTTACGACCAGAGCACAGAGTGGGGAAGAGGGTCGTGTCAATTCAACCTATCCACTGCTGCCACAAGCACGGACTCTACCGAACCAACACACCACATTCAACGACTTCCTGCCTCCCTTTACTTGATTATAAGTGAGTAACCATCGACGGAGGGCTGATGGCACCCGTAGACAATCTTCTTTCAATTACAAAAATTTTCCAGACTTCTCACTTTAATACAGATCCCTGTAGCCAAATTCACCTCCTCGCCCAAAGAATCAAATACGACCCCAATCGTGCAAGATTCCTCAAGGATTCATGCACTGCAAATTCGGAGTCTTTCTAATATCACACTGTATCAAAAGGGCAATCCTCGGGATAGAAACGTGATTACTGTGTCAGGGACAGGAATGTTGTAACTCAGGGCAAAGGGAGATAACGCAAGTTTAGATCCGCGTTCATACTTTAATGTAAGTAAAGGACGCGTTTAGATTCGGCGATTAGGCAGACTTGGCGAATTGACAGACCGCGCCACGAGGAAAGTAGGGGTATCGATCTGGCGACTGAGACTGCGGAGAGTCGCCGATCCTATGATCTTCAAACCGGATCTCCGAGTCTCTCAAATTGCTGCATCACCCAATCTCACAAATCGCCGAATCCACGCAATCGCTAGAAAACGGCCACAATTGATAACCATCCACCAATTTGGCGCGCAATCGCTGGAACTGCCGAATCTGCTCAGCCACGAAGTATGAACACGGCCCAAACTTTAGTGAAAACCTGCAAATCTCACAAGAAAAATGAGCACCGAGAATAAACAACAGACTGCCATGTCATGGATGGCACTTTCCCCATTCAGAGTGGGGGAAAAGATGAAGATTCGAAAAACAATTTTAGATTCAAGTACTGAACATGCAGTACCTCTCTTGGACAAATCAACCGTCGTATTAGATCCTTTGCTTCTTCTGAAATTGTCCAATCAACATCCTCATCTGGAAAGTCGAGCATATCCTGAAACAACCACTCAAGGCTCTATTATAGAATACTTCAGTAAGGAAGATGGATAAAAATGAAAATTAATTGAGTGTGTTGAAAATTCCTGGTAAATAAAGAGAATACCTGATGACTCATAATCTTCCCATACGTGTCGATCAGTCGCTCGGAGTAAAAAGGAGTATTACCATAAAGCATTTCATACCTTAAAAGAGAGCAACATTACAGATAGACCCTGGAGCATTGTAGGACCACCTGTGGAAGTGAGGACATCTACGAGAATATGGGATATTCACTTTTTTACGGGATAGACACTTTCTATAATACTTTCTGCAACGCAATGCTCTAGCGCGAAAAAATATCTTCCATTAGAAAACTCATGCTTAGCAATCTGATATTCTTTTTAAAATTAACATAAATAGTAAAGGAAAAGGTAAACGAACATGCAAATGCCAAGAGACCACCAGTCGCATTCTTTGCCATAATGCCCTTTGCCATCTTCCATGGCGCGTAGAATCTCCGGTGATATAT